TTTCTACGAGGTCGGCGAAATCCGCACTCGAGATGAGACGATCGCCCAGAAATCGGGCCTTAGCAAGAATGCCGAAGATCTTTTGAAGGTGGTGGCATTTGATCAGCCATCCCCAGCCGTGTCAGAAGGTCAAGTGATGGACAAACTCCATGCCTTTTTCGTGGCTCTCGAGTATTTGAACATCTGTGATTTCTCGTTCGCAGCTGGCCCTCTCCAATACTTGGCCGATCTGGAAGAATGGCGCCATGAGAACCGAGGGTTGGCCTTGTTGCTCACAGTTGACTCGTTGATCCGCAAGAAGGTGCATCGTCTCGGGTCTGATCAGAGGAAGAAGTTCACCAACTACTCCGCTGCTCTGAAAGAAGTGCTCGCCTTCCACAAGCAATTGTGGAACGATGCTAGATCTAGTGCTGAGCTTGATAAGTTTAAGCAGTTGCAATCGACTTCATCTCCCAGGACACCGCCCACAAAGAGACAGCGCTCGCAGTCTCCTGTGACACCTCCCAAAGGGGCTAAGGCTCGCAAAAACAAAGCTCGTCGCGAGAAGCTCAAAGCCCTGGCCAAACAGGCTAAACAAGGCTCTCCCGCAGCGAGTTCAGCCAAGCCCGTTCGTGATGCGCGTGTCCCAGCAGATGAGTGGAAGAAGATCACTTCGTTCAAGTACAGTGGAGCTCGTCGGTGCCCCTTCTTCAACTGCTCATTGGGCTGTCGCTTTGGAGATCAGTGCAAGAACAAGCATGTGTGCGTCGAGTGCGGCGGTGAGCACTCGTGGCACAGCAACCACTGAAGACGATCGGAATCCCCGGGGGGGCTGCCTCCCCCCCCTGGGGTTGGGGCAAAGGAGGCAGATCCGGCACCGGGTCCCCAGCGGCCCTCTGCCGGCTGGCGATCGTGGGATGAGGTGCCTCGTGATCCATTTGAGGTAGCTGCACATGGTCCCTTCTTTGTGGAGCTCTTTTCGGGAACCGCTCGGCTGACGGCAGCTGTTAGGCTGCAAGGGGTTCCATGCCTCCCACCAATCGACATCACTCTATGTGAAGAAGTGCCAGCTCCGAGAGACGTGGTGGATCTTGAGTTTTGGGACTTTTTCATGAAGGTAGTGAGTTTGGGAGCGATCGCTTTCCTGCATTGTGGAACTCCATGCAACACGTTTTCTGCCGCTCGCAAACTCGATGGCGGTCCTCCACCAATTCGCTCAAAGAGTCATCCGTTGGGTCTGCCACAGTTGTCCGATATGAACCAAGCTTTGGTCTTCTTGGGTAACCTCTTCGTGCTGCGCACAGCAGAGGCGTGCTTGACGGTCTTTTTGCTCGGCGGTGATTTTTCCATCGAGAATCCTCTGTTCAGCCTCATGTGGGATACGCCTCCGATGCTGGATCTCTGGCACGCTTGCAGAGCTGTCGCGGTTGATTTTGATCAATGCATGTTTGGGGCACCCTCACGGAAGCCGACTCGGCTCTTAGTCACTTCAGCACTGTTCGATGTTCTCAAGGTCCAATGCTCTGGTGCGCATCCCCATGTGGCTCTTCAGGGACAAGAGTGGTGTTCTCAGTCGAACATGTGGATCTGGAAGACAAAGAAGGCTCAGGTGTACCCTCACAAGATGTGTGATCACATGGCTGCCACAGTGTGTGCCTTGGTTCGGCGAGATCTGTCCCACCTTCAGCCTTCTTTTGCGCTGGCTTTGACTGCCTCGGAGCGCAAGCGGCCGCTCGGCCCTGGGCTCAGTCGTCCAGCGCATCGTCAGGCCACTACCGCCACTCTGGCGCAACTTGCAGGCTACCAACTCAAACGAGGTGCGGCTAAGCCTTTGATCCAAGATGAGCTCGAGCCTGGTCAAGCGATCGCATGGGCGATGTCTGTGCCGCATCCGTTTACCCAGCCTACAGATCTGCCTGTCGGTTTGGACGTCGCTATTGAGGCCGTCGTCACCAACCCTGACCAGGTCGTGAGTGAGCGGGTTAACAATCTGAAGCTGTGGGAGGACGCCGCTCACCGTCTCCTTCCCGTTTCTGATCAGATTCTGCTGGCATTGCCGGATCCGGCCTTGCGCCGCTTGTTGCGAGGAGTTCCTGACAATCAGCCGGCCCAGCTCGGCTTGACTTGCCATGTGGAGCTCTATCGAGCTATGCTTGCAGCATGCAAATCGGTTGATCAAAGCTTGCCCGACTTTCTGACCTACAGGTTTCCCATCGTCGGTCCGATCGCTCGGACGGGTCGTTGGCCTGACTACATCAAAGCTCAGCCTAACATCCCGATCGCGGAAGCACTCAAACGGGCCTGGGATCTCCGGAAGAAGATTGTTCGAAGAGTGCAAGCAGTTCCGGTATCGCAAAACCTTCAGAAAATCTGGGATGCTACTCTCGAAGACGTTCAAGAAGGCTCGACCGCAGGACCTTTCAACTCGGAAGAGGAAGTGTCGGCCTTTCTCAGGCAAGATGACTGGATTCCAACCCAGAGGTTTGAGGTGGTCCAGAAGAATAAGGTCCGTGGTTGCGACAGCGCCACCACAAACATGATCAACCAAGTGACGGTCATCAGCGAAAAGCTCCAGCTGCCCTCTACTGACATGAACGTCGCTGCAATTCGCAAGTTGAGATCTTCTGCTCCTTGGAAACCGATCGGGGGATGGGTGCTTGGCGAGCGCAAAGCGTATCGTCAGGTAGCTATCAGACCTGATCATCGTAAGTTTTCTGTCATTTGTTTGAAAGATCCTTCTTCGGCGACCGCTAAGTTCTTTGTCATGATAGGGCACTCGTTTGGACTAGTCTCTGCTGTTTATAATTACAATCGGCGTTCGGCTGCCATCAATGAATTTTTAGTCTCTTTGTTCAAGCTCGTCGCGTTCAGTTTTTATGACGACAAGTACGGGTTTGAACCTGAGGAGACTTTAGCCAGCGCTCGATTGGTTGCAGAGTGTGTTCACACGTGGTTAGGAGCTAGATTCGACACGAAGAAACTCCAATTAGGGTGCTCCCCTACAATTCTCGGAGTTACATATGATCTTGCTCACATGCGACTGCTGATCAAGCCGGACAGGAAACAAGACCTGCTCGACGAGCTGGATGCCATCCTGAAGACAGGGCTGCTCGACCCTGGCTCGGCCGGCAAGCTCAAGGGCAAGCTCATGTTTGGCGCGTCGCAGCTTTGGGGCAAGGTCGGGAGAGCGTTCCTGCGTGTCATTTCAGAGAGGCAATACCTAAGGTTCCCGCAAACTGATCAGTTTCCTTGGGCCCGGCCCTGAGCGAAGCTCTAAGACAATGGAGAAAACTCATCCAGTCAGGTCCCCCCAGGTTGATCGACCTGCAGGTTCAAAAACCCGCGGACGTTGTGATTTTCACAGATGGCTTCACTCCGGATCCGAGAGAGCGGGACGTCCGGCCGGATCGGATAGGAGCTGTTTTGTTTGACCGACGTTTGCGGTGCCCTCTGCAATTGACAGCTCTAGTTCCCCGAGCTTTAAAGAAGAAGTGGCTCGAACGAGCAACTCAGATCGTGCCCGTTGAAATGGTAGCGCCGATCGTAGCTCTTTGGACTTTCGCAGATCGTGTGAAAGGAGCAGATGTAATCTTGCTCATAGATTCAGAGGCTGTCGAAGGCGCCTTGATCAAGGGATACTCGAGTAAGAGCGACCTCTGCGGACTAGTGTCGATCTTTTGGGATGTCTCGCTCGAGTTTCATACTAGAATCTTTATCGATAGGATCTCGACGGATGCAAACCCGGCTGACTGGCCGTCTCGGGGGGATTTGGATCGAGGGTTAGAGGCCGGTTGGGTCACAGTCGAACCATCCTGGCCCCCCTCTCTAAGTTCTTGACCTGGGTATGGCTAGTTCTAGTCGGTTAGGGGCCTGGGTATGTGTGGTCTGAGTCTTGTTGATCAGGTTTTTGTTGGATCTGACTTCCTTGTCACTATCACTGTTGTGCCAAGTGTTTTGATCTTTGATACTTGATCAATTTTTCAAGGCTAGACCGCTCGGAGCAGAGCCATCAACTTGAAAGGATCAGCTCTACCCCACGCCATCGAGCTGTCCAAAATGATCGCGCGGATAGCTCGCTTGTGATCGAGTTCAGGAAGGTAGAAATCTCTAGTTCGACCGTGCAACATCTGTTCGAAGTTGTGCAGTTGTTTGCGGTAAGGTTGGTTTGGTACAACTGTGTAACTTTGTTAGATGTTGATCCTGATTCGATCGATGATTCATTTCCTTTGCCATTTTGGCCTCAAAGGCCCAAAGATCCATTCTCTTTTTGACCCAAACCCGCCCACCCTGTGGCTTCGGTCACGGTGGTGGGTGGTGACCTCTGATTTAAGCATTTCTGCCGGTATGTGTGGTCTGAGTCTTGTTGATCAGGTTTTTGTTGGATCTGT